TCGATGCACTCACCACGGTGCAAGTCATGGCAATGCAAGCATACATCCCTTAAGAAGGCACAAAATGCAAGCTATACATGGCAAGAACAATGGCATAGCATGCACGGGTCAACTACAACATCACCCGCAAAATTGCAAACAAGTTGACAATCTGCCCAGATTCACAAAGTAGCAAAAGTAGAGCTCGATTGACTCAAGATAGGGTGCTCCATAATTGCAAACAAAGACATGGATGGATAGAGCACTACAATATCAACAAAACTCCCTTATGGCATCATGAGATAAACAGCTTCAGGACTTAGTGAAATCACTAAGTCCCTGAAAACAGAATTAGCAAGTGCACCACTTTGCAAGCTTGCACAAGTCACCACACACAACCTAAAAATACATGGGTTGCACCTCTGGAGAGATGACAAAACCTTTAACAAAACATATGTAAAACTCATGGGCATAGCATGCACACAATAATCATGGCAAAAATGACAAAAGTGCTAAACGGAGTAGCAGATCTGACAATTAACTCAAGTAGCCCTCTTCTAACAGCATTTCGGGCATCAAGATGAGCTCAAATGAAAATTATCCAATGGAATGAAATGATGTACTCTCTGAGATGAACATTTTGATATGCTATATGCCAAAAACGGAATTACGGATGCAAAGTTACGATGCGATGAACAGGAGCACATGGGTTAGGGTTTCGGGCAAAGAGTCAACCGTCTCAGATCCAGATCTAGATCCAGCCGGAGTTACTGTTCATGCACGGACTTCGAGGATGGTCGGAGGGGCTTGGAGCTCGCCGGAGGAGCTCGGACGAGGCCGGGGCGACGAGGAGGCGGCGCCGGCGGGCACGGACTTCGAGGCGGCAGGCGCGGCGGCACCGGTGGCGGTTGGTGGCGTCGGACGGCGCCGGACCAGGGCAGCGCGGAGGGCTGCGGCCAGCCGGCGGCGAGCGGCATGCGGCGGCTCCGGTCACCTCGGGCGGCCGGGCGCGAAGAGGAGGGCGGCAGCTTCGGGC